GAGGGGGAAATGGAGAGGTAAGACACTTGTGAGAAACAGATAATTTCTATTATCTGTTGATGAGGATGTATACGGTGGTCTCAATTGGGCTGTACTAAGGTGTATATCATCCTGAGTAAAGTTTTCTTCACAATCTAAATGATGTATAGTGATTTAATGTATGAATAATAATAATAATAATAATATATACCTTGTAATAATAAAAATAAGTTAAGTATTTGCCCAAGGAAGTTGTAGGGCTGGGATTTGAATGCAGGTAACCTGATCTCTGAGGTTCTAATATTGCCCCCTATAGGCTTTGAGGAGGAAAATACAGATTAACAGTCAAAATTGAGTGATGATGATAATCACATGAGGGAGTACTGTGGGCATTGTTCCACTCATTTCTGTCAGCAACTCCGAGAGGTAGGTTTTCTCATTTGCAAAACAAAAAATTGAGACCTAGAGACTGAATTACCCAAGCCATACTACTAACAATAAAGAGAGTTAGGGTTTGAACACAGAATTATCTGAACTCAGGCCTATACACCCAACCACTAGATTATATTACTTTAAAAAAAAAAATTCCTATAGGGCGTGTGTGTTTGCTGGAGAGAGACAGAGACAAAGCGAGAAAGTACTCCCCATGGAGGATGGCCATGCTGCAATCCCTTCATTTTCCTCTCAAGATTTTGGAAACTCATGCATGCATGTCCGGCATTTTTTTCAAGCTGCTGAGTTTAGGACTTGAATCATGCAGTTGGGCATGTGGCATTGAGCCACCTTAACCACCATGCCACAGGGTGGTCCTACATTGCCTTTTCCTTTTTTAGAGAGAGATTTTTGCTATAGGGTGCGTGTACTCGCCGGAGAGACACAGAGACAGAAAGTGAGAAATCACCCCCTCAAGGGAGAGGGTCACACCACAATCCCTTCTCCTCCATTCTCCTCTTGGGATTTTGGGCACACACACACATGTGCCTGGCGTGGATTTTAAGCTGTTGGGTCCAGGACTCAAACTGTGGTTGACTACATGGGTGTCCAGTGACATAATTATTATGCTATCCACTGGTCCCATCCAATGCCTTTTGAATGACAGACAAAGGCCATGAGGAGCTATTGGAAATTTTAGAACACTCAGTGGTAAGATTTGCAGAGCAGTGAGCAGACAGGATAGAAAGGATAAACTGAAGAGGGAACGGTTAGTTAATAAACTATTACTGTATTTTAGAGGAGAGGTGACAAGGAATAGGAATGTCTTTTAATAAGGACTAGTTAAACAAATAATTTGTGGAATGGGATAAATGGGAGTCAGCCTTAATCTACATATACTGATATTGCCCAGTCAGGTAGTACAGTCCATAGAATACTGGACTGCAGAGCTGGGGACCATACAGCCAACTACGGGTTCAGATTCCTGGGTCAGCCTGAAAACATGCAGGGTGTGCACATGGGTGCCCAGTGACTGGACAAGCTGGAGGCCTGGAAAGAGAGGATTATGGCATGACAAGTGCCTGTCAGGGGTGCTTTCTCTCTCATGCATATGCATGTGCTCTCTATCATTAAACAAAAAGCAAAGAAGCAAGATTTAGAAAAGTGTTATATGTTACATATAGGACCAAGTGTTGGCACAGTAGGAACGCAACTGGGCCTCCATGAGAAAGATCTTGAGTATAAGTCCCAAGGTCTTTCCGTATGTAGCAAGTATGTGCATGCACACATGAGCTTGTGATCTAGGTAACATAAACTGGGGATGGATCATGGCATAAAGAGCCAGATGGGAATGCCTGTCTCTTTGTCTTTCTGGAAGAAATAAATGAATAAACCTTTTAAAAGGAAGAAAGAGGGGCCAGCAGATGGCGTAATGGTTACATTGTTGGACTCCCACATAGTCCTGGACCCAGTGGCCTAAAACTCACTCCAGGCATGTGTGTGTGTGTGTGTGTGTGTGTGTGTGTGTGCATGTCCAAAATCCTGAGAGGATAATGGAGAAGGGATTGTGGAATGGCCATACCCCATAAGGGGTGATTTCTCACTTTCTGTCTCTCCAGTGAGCACACACGCCCTATAGCAAAAATAAAAAAAAAGAAAGAAAAGAAAGAAAAATGCTATAAATTGCTCCTAGAAATGAAATTAAGGAACACACACACACAAATATACTTGATGCCTATAAATGTATTAAGAGTCTCTGAAAGGAATTAGATATACATCAATCTTAGTAATGTTTATCTCGAGGTGGGAGAGACTTGGAGCCTAGAGACTGAGATTTGGAAGGAGATTTAATTGTATACCATGTGTGACTTTTCTTATTTTAATTTAAAAAAAATATTTATTGATTCAATTTTATTATTATTTTTCAGTTTACTACAGGGCATGGAGAGAGAGAGAGAAATATGAGAAAGCAAGCCACCAAGTCTGGGACTTAAACCACAGTCAGCCATGTGGGAGTCCAGCACTTCAATCACTGTGCCACCTGCTGGCCCTGTGAATAAGACTTTTTAATTAATAAAAACTATTCAATTAAACAAAACATTAGTGACAGCATGAAGTAAGGTAGCAGCAGCGAATCTGGAGGAGACCTTGCAGGGATAAGTAGAGGAGAAGTTGGAGAGGCAGATCTTAGGAATGGGAGAGAGGAACTGGGTGAGGGAAGAAGGAAGAGGGTGACAGAAGCGTCCCCAGTACCTCTTCACTCCTCTTCTTCTCCCCAGGGCACAAGGAGGAGGGACTCAGAGACTAGGGTTGGACGTTCCCCCCTCCCTCCCAGGGAAGGAGCTGCTAGGAAGCTCCACAGTCCAGCCTCATTCCCATTTCTTGTCCTGTTTCTCTCGGTTACACTTTTCCATCAGAAAAGCCTGCACTGTGGGATAACTTGAGCCTGCCCAGTTCTTCCTCTGATTCCATCTCCTTGGGCAATCCCCTCCATTACAGGGTACATCAGGTATTTTTTTAATTTATTATTATTATTTAATTCACTATATGGCATTTGCACTCACCAAAGAGAGAGAGAGAGAAAGTGAGAAAGCAAGCTGCCGGGTCTGGGACTCGAATTGTGATGAACCATGTAGGATTCAAGCACACCTTAACCATCATACCACCTGCTGGCCCTCACATCAGATATTTTAAAGCAAGATTTGGGTTGAGGAGCAGAGTTTGGGGATCCCTTCGACTCTAGAGCTCCAGAGTTCAAAGTGGTAATTTAGGATACTGTGGAATGGAAAGTGGAGACTAAAACCAGGCATCCCAGCTCTCTATCCCAACATCCATCAGAACATTCCACTATATCACTTTGACGTGCCTTATGCTATTGAAGTGTTGCATTATACATATATTTATATATAATGTACATGTTATATACTAATATATAATATAATGTGTGTATAAATATAAATATACATATACATATATAGCATCCCTTAGCTTTTCAAAAAGTGGGAAAACCACTACTTCAGTGATACTCTTAGGTAACAGGTTTCTACACAGTCTCATGGGGTTTAATTTTTATCACATTTTAATTTTGCTCTTGCCACAGATATACTATGTCATTTGGCCTTCATTTGTCCATTCTCAGGTGGAGAAATACCACCATCTTTATCATGGACCACATTCAAACGAAGTCAGTCAATACCTGAGGAAACCTAGAGATTCCAGTTCTGCTTCAGGGGTCCATCTTAGTGTGGCTTTTGTTCCCAAACCACTTTCTTCTAGCATAGGATTCACCTGTGGGTTTTGTTCAAATGCAGATTTGGCTTCAGTATTTTGGGGTGGTGCCCAAGAGTCTGTATCTCCCACAGTACCTGGTGCTGCTCCTTGGCTGATGAGTAGTGCACACTTTGAGCAGCCAGACTTGGGAATGTACACATAGACCAGAAACCCCCTACATAGCCTGCATCACCAGGTGATGATATTACCTGGAGTGTTGGCTGGGACATCAGCTTGGCTCGAACTGAAGACTAGGGCTGCACCTGAGAAACCAAGTTAGAGAAAGTTCATCAAGAGGGCTGTAGCATGCTGATGGCTGTGTGTGCCAAATACTGACAAGATGGAGAAATGGAGAGGAAGGAATGACCATGCCCTCTTAGGGGATATTTTCTCCCTCTCCTTCCTCTCTCTGTCTCCCTCTTGTGAGTACACATGCCTTCTGGCAATTTGGAAAAAAATATTGAGGAGACAGAGATATCTCTGACTCTGTGAGAGTCTAAAGAGTGGGGTAGAGACTTCTGTGGATGCAAAAAGGAAAAGGCTTTGGGGAGGAGAGCAAACCATGATGCCAGTATAGACACATGGTGAGGATGACAAGAGTGAAGAGTCATTTTCAGTTGAGGAGAAGATTCTGGCACTCCCTGCCACCACACTGGAAGGAAGAGCCCTAATTCCTCTGCTGTAGCCATGACTGGGAATAGTTTGCCCACTCACAGCAGTTCTACGAGGAGCCCTATGTGTTCTAGCCCTCCTATTCTTTCTAGAAACTACTCCATTCCCACTCTGATACTGAGATCCTAGAGGGACTTGCCAATCATAATAGCTCATTCCCTTGCCTAGAATGATAGGTTCAGGCTGGGATCACATGACCAGAGCCTGGGCCAATCAGAGATAGTTCTGACATTTTCCAAATTGGAGTGGGAGGGAAATAGCTCCTTTCCCTTCTGGTGTCAGAGCTATGGGTTGGGTGAGTCTGGAGCTAGCAGTTGCTGTGTAGTAGGAAATAACTTCTCCCTCGCATTCCCATGCCTGCCCCCCAGTTGACTACAGTGGGAAAGCTGACTCAAAGAAAAAGGAAGAGATGACAGGTGGAGCACTCTGGTGATTTTTGAGTCTCAAGTGACATTTGTTCATAAAGTCAGCTCCACCCCTACCTTTGCCACACATTGATTGTATGAAAGGAATTCAGAAAGTTCATGGAAATGGAGTTAAGATACAAATCTATTTGGTGCAAAAATTGTTTGAAATTCATGCATAGTTATCATGTTATGCGTTTTCCACGAACTTATTGAAGACCTCTTGTATAAATCACAAAATAATAAATTATTCTTCCTGTTCCTCCCCCATCCCCGTTTTGTCTAAGTTAGAGTTGGGTTTCAGTTGTAAGTGACTGAGGAACCCTAATTGACACTCTTACCCCATTACCCTGACAAGAAGTGAGGTCTTGGGAGAGAAGGGAGAGCAAGGAGTTCTATGGGGACAGGGAAGCTCCGCAGAGGAATAACTTAGTGCTGATGGATGCCATTGATCTCAGAAAACCCACAATGTTGCTTTTTCTTCCAGATGAACCAGCTGAAGACCCCACAGAACGGAAGGCCAAAAAGCACCAAAGGGAGTCCAATCCAAAGCTTCGAGTTTCTCTTAAGTCCTTTGAAGAGGAAATGAGTGATATTAATACAAACCATGACAAGAGAGATGGGAACAAATAATGCACAAGATGAAATGACCACGCTACCTGCCTCTACAAATCCCTTGACACTGCAAAAATAACTTCTTTTTTTTTATTTATTCATTCTATAAAGAGTTTTTGAACCAGCATTGTTCTAGGCAAGAGCTTACAGGAGTTTATAAGGCAGATAGTGTTTCTGGGAAGAAAAGTTTATGACTTGCTCAGAGACACACAGTTTGAAGTACTTGACCCTGGATTTGGGTGCTGTCTGATCCTAGAGCACCCTTAAGCACCAAGCTCCACTAGCTCTCTGTAAATGACACAAGGGCAATTCTAGGTGCCCTCTCTGTAAATGACATGAGAGCATTTCTATGCTTAAAACTCATTCCTACTAAGCTGAGCTCTACATCTGCCTACCTGACCCAGCAGAGATTCTGGTTGGATTTTACCTTTTTTACTGCTTCCCTCTTTGAAAGAGTAGAAGATAGAGCTCAGGGTTTCAAACTTGCTTTTCTGTATAACCTTGGGCAAGTCTCTAATCTTTTGTGAGTCTTCGTTTCTTTATTTAGTTTCTATATTTGGGGAATATATGAATGCCTGCTTCATAGCACTATTGATTGTGTCAAATGATTATGCAAAAATACAGAGGCCTGGACTAGTGCTTAGCATTTAGAAAGAGCTACTAGGGCTCCCTTTATACTTCTCATGTACACAGCCCCTGTTCCTTCCTAGTCCACATCCCTTCCCGTATCAACTTCCCACCAATTCTTCTCCTCAAGCCTCTAACTCTGCCCTGTTCACTATGATAGCTGCACACCACAGATACGTCCTTGAAATGTGGCTAGTGTGACTGAGAAACTGAATTGCTTACTTTATTGAATTTTAATTAATTTAAATTTTAATTTAAAAAAGGTGGCTTGATATTGCCTTGAAAAACGAGTAGGTATGTCTGGAACGACTTGGGTACGTAAATCTATTTTTAAACTGTAAATTTTATAAAATCTGAATACAGATCAAATTCTTTTGATGAAAGTTTAGGATCTGAATTGAGATGTGCTATAAGTATAAAATACATATTGGCTTTCAAAGACTTAATACAAAATACAACTTTATAAAGTACTTTTTGTATGGAATACATGTTGAATTGGTAGTATGGATACAGTGAGTTAAATAAAATATATTATTAAAAATAATTTGGCCTATTTCTTTTCTTATTGCCAAAGTGTGTGTGCTCACCAGAAAGGCACAGAGAAATGGACAGAGAGAGGGAGAGGGAGAAAGTACTCCCCAGTGGGTTGTAATCACATCACAATCCCCTCTCCTCCACTTTTCCATCTTCTTGGGATTTTGAGGATGCACACACATGAGCCCAGCATGATTTTTAAGCTGACAGGGCAAGGATTTGAACCCTGGCTGGCCATGAGGGATCTCATTTCCCAAGCCACTTGTATGGAGCTGTATTTCCTTTTGCTTTTTCTAATATGGTAATTAGAACGTTAAAATTACGTAAACAACTCTCATTATATTTCTATGGAAATGCACCACATTAGAGACTGTTTCTCTTACTCCCTTGATGTCTGTTCATAAAGCGCACTGAGAATGGTGGTACTTTATAATCTTCTTGCACCTCCCCGCCCCAGCCCTGCAACCTGAATGAACAGAGAGAGAGAATACAACCTGAACAGACGCTTCTGGAAAGAAACTCGGTGGAAATGTTGGTGACAGGATTACTGGCTGTGCATGTGAAGTTGGGGTGATTTTCAACACTTTTCCAGGAAACATTGAGGCATGATCCCCCTTGGGACATGACAGCTCCTTTCTGTAGGGGAGTCCATGTGTAAGTCACGTTTTCACCCTCCTCCACTGAGCAGGTCAGGCTGACTCTGCAGATGCCGTCCTCAGAGTTCCCAAGCTTCCAGGTGATGTTTGGCTTTTTAAGCCTTCCTGTGTGAGGAGAAAGGCCAACTGACAGTCAGGCCTGACTGCCAGAGTCATCACATCTTTATTCATGAACAACATACTCATGAAGCTATGTGTTGATGCTGTGAGGATGGTGCCTCTAGGAGTCAGAGGCATTTTGAGGTGCACCTGGCCTTCTCCTCCCTATCTATGACACCATAGACACACATCAGTTCACCTCTGTGGGCCTGCACATGTGGTGTAAAATAGGGAGTTGATGAAAAGTGAAAAAGCAAATGTCACCTCATTCTATTCTGTGTACTCACAGCTTAGCTGAGATAAGGGGTGCGGGGAGCTGAGTGCAGAACCTGACACAAAGCAGTGTGTCAGGGAATTGCTAGCAATTTAAGATGACATAAGGCTGGCTCCATTTGTTCCCAGTTTGTTATGATTTTTGCTTAATATTCTTGCTAGGTCTAATTAATTAATTAATTACTTCCAACAGAGAGAGAGGCAACCCCAACATGGTCTTTATGTACAATCTACCCCCAACCCCAGCCAGCCTGTGCCATGGGCACACAAGTGCCTAGTGTGCACAGTGAAGTCCCAGGATGCAAATCCAGACCTTTCCATGTGTGTCCAATTGTGTCACCACTGTGCCACTGTGCAGCTCCGCTGGGTCACAGGGTATTTGGGAGATGGTGAGAATGAAACCTTCATAGGTCTCAGAAGCATGGGGTCCCTCAAGGTCCAGTTGTAAAGAATGCCTTTCCCTGAACCTTCACAGAGCACTTTAGGGTGATGCTACAGAAGGCATTCTCAGACACCTCCACAGAATCTATGGTGACTTGGGGCTCTTGCAGCTGCTCTGCAAACACAACAGCATTGGGAAGACATTCGGATGCCTTCCCAGGCATCTCCCAAATGTATGCAATGGATGTAGACTTGGCTGACTCAAACAGGACCATGGACAGTGACTCTTTTCATGGATACCTAGATACCAACCAACTCAGTCAGCAGGTATGTCAATTGTGTCTGAATGGCACAGGTAGGATCTGGAAAACAAACTATGCAAATTGTCAAGTCAAGCTCTCGTGAGGCCTAGGGTTGAGGAGGAAGAATGTGAGTTCTGTTCTTCACATTCAGGTGAGTGAAGTGGCTCACCCCTCAGAGGACACTGTATTTGGACAGCAAGGGCTTTTCCTCAGTCTTCTCTGATTCAACTCCAGCTCTGCCCTTATTCAAAATGATGATGTTCTTGAGGCCAGGTGGTGGTGCATGGAAAAGTCCCTGGCTCACATGTGGAGACCTCCCTGAACATGATGGTGCATATGTGCTCATGATCCAGAGCTGGTTGAAACTGGGGGTAGATTGTACAGTGAGGTCCCATTGAGGCTGCCTGTCTCTGTCTTGCTTATGGAAGAAATAAAGAAATAAATGCAAAACTTTAAAGAAAGAATAAAAGTCTATAAAAATACAGACTGGAGAGAATCAATGGAGGAAGACAGCAGCACATAGTAAAAGGCCTGCCTGGGAGCCTAGAGCAGAAGGCACATGGGCAGGTGGGTTTTGCTCAGCTGCTGGTTGTAATTTTTCCTCCTGTGAATTGACCGGTATGAATTCAACAGCTGTCTAACTGGCCTGAGGCATTTAGGTTGAAGGAGTACTCTGAGGGAAGAGGGAGGTAAGGAAGATGGTAGAGAAGAAACCATTCAGGGAAGAAATCACATGATGGGTGCTCTGCCCGAAGACTCACGGTAGATGAGAAGGGTGACATGCTTCATGCTGGTGATCATGGAGGTCTCTGAGCACACATAGGCATGATAGTGGCCAGCATCCTCCATCATCAGCCTGCTGATCTTCAGGGAGTTGTCCTGTCTGGACACCCACATTCTGTTCTTGTCAGGATCCGTGGATTTAATGAGTGGGTCTGCTATGGTTGCTTCTTCCCACTGTCTTCTGATTATAGATGAATTAAATATCCAGACGACATGCTCTCCTTTCTGACTGACCGAGAGTGCCAGGGGCAGGGTGATAGGCTCTCCCAGGGTCCCCACCATGGTCTTTCCCATTGTTCTTCCTCTGGAGGCTCCTGGATCTGCAGTCAGAGATGAGACACTGCATCTTTATCCACTGTTCCCCTCACCCTTGGCCCTCAGCCTGAAGAGGACAGGAGCCACTCCTTTCCCCTTTCTTCCCCTAATGAGGCATTTCTGCTGTTTGCCATACCCATCTGATCCACCTCTCTGCAACTAGGTCTCTCCTGCCCTCTCTGCTCTTTTGAGGAGAGTCCAGGAGACACCTCCATCCAAGCAATGATCAATATGGACCCCTTCATCTCTTCCCCCTTTTCCTCTTTCATGCTATCTTCCCTTAGAGTGTCATGGTGCTCTGGGAGTTCCCAAGTAGAGAACAAGGAGTCTCCAGGCCTGCCCTCTTGCTTTTCTGCTCCATCTGTGACCTATAAGAACCTTGGATTTGGGTTACACAGCTGCTTGAGCTGTTTCTGGAACCCCCCTGGAAGCCCCACAAGGAGTCAGTTACCTGCACAGAATTTCCAGGCACGGATAGGCTGGGAGCTACTCTGGCTGACTGGGTTCCAGGCTGTGCAGGTGTATGGCAGGTCTGGGTCACAGGGTGTTCGGGAGATGGTAAGAATGGAGCCCTCGTAGCTCTCAGAAGCATGGAAGTTCCTCGAAGTCCAGTTGTAATGAATGTCTTTTCCTGCCCCCTTCACAGAGCACTTTAGGGTGATGTTACAGAAGGTATTCTCAGACACCTCCACAGACTCCAAGGTGACTTGGGGCTCCTGTAGTTTCTCTGCAAACACAAGAGCATTGGGAAGACACTCATGCCTTCCCCAGCATGAAAGGGCCAGGAGAACAGGGTTCTGATGATAGAGAAGCTGGAGAAGCAGGGAGAGGTCAGCATGGCCTAGTCCAGGGAAGTTTTCCCTGCAGATTAGGTTGAATATCTCAGGAGTCCCCAGTCCCTGGGCCCTGGACTGGTACCAGTCTCTGGCCTATTAGAAAATGGGATGCACGGGAGGTGAGTGAAGCTTCATCTGTGTTTACAGCCACTCCCATTGTTCGCATTACCACCCAAGCGTCACGTCCTGCCAGATCAGTGTGCATTAGATCCTCATAGGAGCATGAACTCTAATGCAAACTGCACAAGCACGAAATCTAAGTGCATGCTCTTATAAACACACTCCCCCACCACCCATGGAAATATTGTTTTCCATAAAACTGGTCTCTGATGCCAAAAACGTTGGGGACTGCAGGAATACCTCTCCTCTGTGCTTTCATGATACCCTTCACAGGTATTTTCATTGTGACAGCACGACTAAGAGTCTGATTATTTCACTCTTTCACTCCTCACCAGAGTGTGGAGCCCTTGAGGACTGGCTGAGGTCTGTGCCTGAGCACGTAATACCCAGCCTGGTCCATGGAAAGCACTCACAAATGTCTGGTGAATAAACAGATGAATGAGCCAGCCCCAAATGCCAGGGAGTAGGGAGATTCTACTTGAGAATTTGAGTCGCCCCTGAGTTTTAGTCTTCTGAATTTGGGATCCACTGTGCTTATGGAACTTCTTGGTCTTCCCTTTTCCTTTTATTCCATCTCTATTTACCGTGTGTGTTTGTGTGTGTGTGTGTGTGTTTGTGTGTGTGTAATAAAGTCCTATTTCTTTTTGTTTTGAATAGGTAATACATGAACAATATAAAAAAGATACACATGGTTACACGATGAAAAAAAAAAAAAAGGATGCCTCTTCACATACCAGATGGTTATTTCTCCTCCCCAAGAGTGAGTGTTCCAGAAGGCAATTACTATTATAAGTTTCTTGTTGATTTCTCCAGAAATAATCTAGGTATAGACATATACAGGATAGCATACTATTCAGTCTTGAAGTTTTAAAAAAAATCTAAAAATATATCTTGAAAATTGTATCTGGGGCCAGCAGATAGTGTGGTGGTTAAGGTGCTGGATTCCCACATGGTCAATTGCAGTTCAAGTCCTTGATCTGGCAGCTTGAAAATTATGATGGACACATGTGTGCATGCCTAAAATCCCAAGAGAAGAATGGAGGAGAAGGGATTTCAGTGTGGTCATCCCCCCTGGGGATGATTTTTCACTTTGTCTCTGGTGAGTGCAAGCACCCTATGGCAAAAAAAAAAAAAAAAAAAAGAGAGAAAGAAAGAAAGAAAATTGTATGTCATTAAATTCTGAGTTGCTTCACTCCAACTCTATTAGCTACATAGAATTCCACTTCCTTAATATATGCATGTACTTTGCAGATCAATAAAAATGAAACTATCTAATTTTAAAAATAGTGTTATGGGCTAGTCCTGTAACCTAGTGGTTAAGGAAGCTGGATCTCGCATGGCCAACACAGTTCAGATTCCTGCCCTGCCCTGGCAGCTTGAAAATGTGTGCATGCATGTCCCAAATCCTGACAGGATGGAGAAATGGAGGAGAAAGGATTTCATAATGAAAAGACCCCACTAGGGGGGTGCTTTCTCTCCCTCCTCCACTCTTTCTCTGGTGAGTGTGTGTGTCCTAAAGCAACAAATTTAAAAAAAGAAAAAAAGAAAAAGGTGGTGTTATGGACTGAATTGCCTCCTCCAACTTTATCAGCTAAAGTCCTCACAGTGTAATCATATTTGGAGACAGGACCACTGAAATCCTGCCCAAGCTACACCCTCCTGCTTCCCAGGTTAGAGTACGACCTTCTGCCCAGGCTACACCCTCCTGCTTCCCAGGTTAGAGTACCCTATTTATTCTCTCTGTCTCTCTCCATCTCTCTCTATTTTTTTTTTTAATTTTTAAAGTTCTTAGCTCTCTGTCTCTCTTTTGTCTTGCTAATTCCTACCTCCCATAGGACAAGCCAATCATCACTCATCTATATCTGAGTTCTGAGATAGCACTAAGAAAAGAATTGTTAGAGATGAAGGTTGTTATACAGGGAATCAAAACCTCTCTTGAAAGTATCAAAAGCAGATTAGGTGATGCAGAAGATCAAATCTCGAATGTAAAAGATAGAACCTCTGACCTAGAAAATTTCACCAAAAATACTGAGGAAATAAGCCCCCAAAATGAGAATAACATACAAGTGATACTAGATAACATTAGACACACAAACATCCAGATCATTGGAATCCTAGAAGAGGAAGAAACTAATAAGGGTATTGGTAATCTAGTCCATGAAATCCTGGAAGAAAACTTTCCAAACCTAGAGAGACACTCAAATATCCAGACCCAAGAAATACAAAGGACCCCATATAGAACCAACCCAAGAAGATTCTCTCCACACCACATTATAGCTAGATTGACCAAACCACAGACAGAGACAAGATACTGAAATTGGCAAGAAAGAAATGTCAAATTACTTTCGAGGGCTATGCCAAAAGGCTAACATTGGACCTCTCATTGGAAACAATATGAGTAAGGAAAGAATGGGAAAATATATTCAAAGTGTTAAGTGAAAAACAATTTCAACAAAGAATACTATACCCAGCAAGATTATTCTTCACATGGGAAAAAAAAGACAAAAATGTTCTCAGATAAACAAAACCTGAAAAAATTTACCAACACCAGACCAGCTCTCCAAGAAGTTCTGAAAGGAGTGCTATACCAGGAAAACTAAAGTCGGACACACAGAAATAAGAGTACAAAAAACAACCAAGAAAATGGCCAACCTAATGGTAGGGACAAGTCTGGAGCTGAATGTTAATTTCCAAAGTTTAAGTGGAAAGATCAGACCACAGTAACACTGCAAATTCAAAAGAAGAGAGTAATTACATGAGACTGAACTGATGAAATAGAACTTTATGACTTTTGACTAAAACATTACTGATTTTCTCCTATGCTTTTTTTTTCCCATATTTAAGGATTTTTGTCTTCTTGAACTGTTGATAGTTTCATCTACCTTCTATTTAAACTGAATCCTAGCCTTTTTCCTGGTTTTAAGTCTTAACATTTTTTTATTTTAATCTATTAAAACTAAAACTACTCTTATTGAAATTTAAAAATGCATTTTAAAACATACCTATTTAATGACTACAGTAAGCTATATTACCCCAGCTAGGTGCTACTTGATAGTATGTTCACTTTACTCACTGAGGTTTATGCCTTAAGTCAGATATGTGTTCATAATAGGTATATATCAGCTGTGCTTGCTATTGACAGTTTTTAGATTAATTAATATCTTTAGTGAAGCAATAAAATAGAAAAGAAAAGGCATGGAAAACAACTGTAGATACCAGAGACAGTCAGGGAAGAGGGTGGGAAATAGCAGAGGGGAAGAGGTATGGAATTCGGGGGCGATGGGAAAAGCAAAATATATAAGAAACAAGAAATGGAAAATTATTTGTTGATGACAACATGTATGGTAATATCTTGAATAAGCCAATATACAGTGTTGTATACTGTATTGATGTACAGTGAATGAATGTAAATAATAAATAGAATTGGGAAAAAATAGAAAGCAATCTCACTTACAATAGCCACAAGACTTGCAAGATACCTAGGATTAAATCTAACCAAAGAGGGAAGGGAACAGAACAGGCCTTCTTCAAGAGAGAGCTCCATGGCTCCTGCGATCTAGCTGTTTTGGGGAAAACGGAGAAATGAAGAGTTCCCACTGATAATTCGGCCTCCAGCATACAAAACTTGCGTGGAGAGGTGGAAGGGAACAGAACAGGCCTTCTTCAAAAGACAGCTCCATGGTTTCTGTGATCTAGCCATTTCGCGTGGCGTGCAAGCTAGCCGCACGGTTTTCTAATTTTTGGGTTTTATTGAAACTTTTTGAATATTAATTTTTTTAGGTTTATTTAAAAGTTTTTCTTTTCATTTTTTTCTCTTTTTCTTTGTTTCTTATCTGTTTTTTTTTTTT